GCGGCTCGGGCCGCGCAGCTTCTGCCTGAGGCTCCGTCCTGCCTCAGCGTCCTCCGCCCCGTACCCGCCTGTTGAAGGAGGGGCCGTCCCGGCTGCCTCGCGGGAGGGTGGTTTCGCTGCCTTTCCTCTCGCTTCTTTTCCCCGGCTGCCACACGCGTGACGCACGGCTTCGTCGGCGCCGGGGCCGCCTTTGTCAGGCTCTGGGCCCTCGGCTAGGCCCGCTCCTCCTCCCGGGAGCCATGTCCGAGCAGACGGGCTTGGCCCTGCCGCAGACCATGGACAGGTATGGGGAGGGCCCAGCGCTGGGGCACAGCGGGAGGGAACCCCCAGGGTGGGCGTGCGAGTTCCCCGCGTCTCTGGGTCCGCGCTGCCAGTGGCGTTTCGGGCCGGTGGGACGCTCCGGCGCGGGGCGCAGCCGTTGCCGGCGGGGGGCCGAGGCGGGGTGGTGGCGAGGCAGGGCCTGGGCCGGTGGCGCGGGTCCGGTTTCACTTTTTGGCTTCTCGAAACTTTGGTGGTCTGGGCGAAGTCGTGCCAGCTCTGTCGTAAATCAGCGCAAGGTACTGCGGGCGGCAGTGTGGTATCCGCGGTGGGGTGTGGAAGGATCGCTCTGGCAGCGTTTGGGCAGGAGGTGTGTCTGGGCTGACACGGGTTCTGGGGAGAGTGGTGCAGGTCTGCAGAAGGCTGTCCGGTTTTTGTGGGTCTAGGAGATACTGTAGGTATGGAACGCATTGGCATGTATGTAAAATAAGGCACCAGAAGACGACCAAAGCTTAACTGGCCTTGCGTGTTTTGTTGCTGGTTTTATGATCTTTGAAGAAAGCCTACAATTGCTTTTTGGAGTGCTGTTAAAAAGTACAATCTAAAAACTACTTTGACTTAAGTGTAGGGGAGGAAAGACGCTTACTGACTCTTAAATTATTTTTATTACACTTGTTTTCTCTTTACGCTTTTATCTGAATATGTAGCACTTTCACCCTGTTCTACTGAGGGCTTAAGATTTCTTATGTATAATTTTGAGTCATCCAGGAAGCCCTTAAGACCCGCCCCTATAAACAACAAAACCAAACTGATAGCCTTTTATTGCAGGAGTTGTGATAGCCTGGTATTTCAGAAGGTGGGGACCCAAAAGACATCAGGCATCTGTTGATGAACCTGTCAAGTTTTCATCATAAGGAAGCAAAAAAAACCCTGGTGTTTTTCTCCTTTCCAGGTCACCTCTAAGGAAAGAGGATTTAGCAAAACACAGGCTGTCATCAGGCAAGTGATGGAGATATAAACTATGTGAGGCAGGGGCAGAATTTGTGCAGCCTGGAAGGTGAGGATGAGAAATTTCAGTTTGATGTAGAAAGAGGATAAAAGTGAGTTGGGGCGGGAGGGAGAGAAAGTTTTTGGTGTTTTTCTCCTTTCCAGGTCACCTCTAAGGAAAGAGGATTTAGCAAAACACAGGCTGTCATCAGGCAAGTGATGGAGATATAAACTATGTGAGGCAGGGGCAGAATTTGTGCAGCCTGGAAGGTGAGGATGAGAAATTTCAGTTTGATGTAGAAAGAGGATAAAAGTGAGTTGGGGCGGGAGGGAGAGAAAGTTGTTTGTCTGTGTGTTAGAAAAACTGAAGAAGCGAGAGATGACAATGGGATGATTTAGGTTATAATTTAGAACAATGCCTGTCAAGGAGGCTAGCAGTCAGGAACAATAAGTGCATTTCCAAGAAGTAACAGGAAGGAGGTAGATTTTTAGAAATACTATCAGAAAAGTATTCCATTTACACTTCCTGTGATTGTAGGGAATAAAAGGGAAGAATTAAGGAAGACAAAAAGAATCCGGAGGAGGATGATAGAACGTGGGGGAAGGAAAAGATCAGGAAGAGCGTTGCAGAATCAACACCTCTGAAACTAAAAAAAAAAAATCTCATCTTCATCCTGAAGTTTGTAGTCCAATAATATGTAATACTCTGTTTTTGAGATTTAGGAAACCATGATATTCTGAGTAGATTCCCTACTGCCTATGGCTGTTATATCATACCATGAAGTCCTAGTTCACCCTTTTGGGGAATGGCTGTAAGGTGGTGTTTACAAGCTGTGTTGTGAACAACTGTTAAATTAAACAGTTAATTAAAAAAGGGAAATTAGTTAACTAGTGGCCAAACCAGTTTACTGTTCTTCAATTGTTATGTGTAATGGATATGTGGGGTTTGATGTACATTTAATATTCTTGTATCCTTTCAGCTTTGTGAAATTGTAATTTGTGTCTCTGGCCCTTTTCAAAGACTTTCTCCAGTAAACTTGGAGTAGCAGAGTTGATACAATCTAAAACAATTGGAAGTGTCCCTGACATCCTCAATAACAAGGACAGTGGGGGGAAAAGTTTTAAGTACCTAGGTAGCATAAAAGGAGGTATGAAGAGAGGCTGTGGCTTTCATATAAGAATTTATTGGGCTCAGTATAGGAAACTTTAGAAACAGTAGCTTGAGAAGTGGTGAATGGAGTGGTAAGAAGGAGCCAAGTATTTAGGACTCGAATTTAATTCAGAGTGTAGTACAATACCAATAGAAGGATTTTGGAGTAACCAAGACCTCAAAAGGCAGTCAGTGTAAATAACTTTTTGGTTACGTATTGCGTTTATGGAGTGGAGTTACATTGAAAGAAACCAGTTTTCATTCATCTCTTGTTTCTAAAGGTCATACATAACTGTTTTCATGTTGTATGTAGTGATGATCAAGATAAACCTTCAATATTTCACATTAGGGGACATAACCCGTGAACAAATCATCTGTAGGGATTCTGAGGGGTTGAAATGCCTCTACTATCCTGTTATCTGTATTGCTAATGACAGACAGTTGTTCTCCTGGGTAAGGGAAAAAGTACGTATGCAAAAGTGTAAGAGTAACTGTTAATGGATTATAACTTAACACAAAGCATGTACTTTTAAATCAAATTCAGATCTTTTAGTGAAGGATGCAGAAAATAGCTTTTCAGCAAATAAGACTTTAATTTGATTCTAATAGTTAAGTCATTAGGAGGGGAAAAAATAGGGTTTTCTTTTGTTTCCAATACCCAGGTGGTCACACTGAGAGTGGTGATGTACTGTTGCATCACGAGTAAGGTGTTGCTGCAGATCTGAATGTATGCACTGCTTTGTGTACAAGGGTCAGAGCTCTTACAGCAAGTTCGTTAATTATGTATTTGTGAGACAAAATGGTTGGCTTCTTCTCTTGACTCTTAGATTGTATGACTTACAGGTTTTTTTTTTCCTTAATAAAGCAATTTGGATTTCTCCAGTGTAAGGCGTGTCTTGATAGCATCTCAACATTGTTGCCTGCGATGCGTCTTTCTTTTATGTATTTTGTGCTCCATCCTCCTTTATTTTCCCTGCAAAATTTCAGTCTGGAAGCAAACCACACATTTATAACAAAGAAGGTAAATAGCTGTTAAGGTATAAGGAGTTTGTTATTTGAAATTTCTAGCTAAGGATTTTTATATTTGTCTGAAGGATTTGCTACAGCATAAATACAAGAAGCATGAAGTAGATATGACCATGAAGTGACACTACATTCTGGAGTTATCTTGTCTGCAGCATTTAGGAAACTAATTGAGATGATTATCATGATCCTGTCTGGCCTCAAAATTGGAATTTCCATCCCTCTTGTAATTTTTTTTTTTCTTCTAGCTCATGTTTAAATAACAGGCCTAGATAATAGTCTTAAAATACCATCCTTTTCTGTGTGCAGAATTCTTTGCAATCTATAGTAAAGGGCCATACTCCTGGACTAATGTGTGCACTTGAAGGCAGTGGTTAGTGGTCTATCTAAATGGTGAGGTTTTATCTTTAATCCCTTTATTCATGTTGTTTTAATGCATAAATTACAGAATCATAGGAATTTCCATTAAAAAATTGAAATTATGTGGCAGTGATTTTTTTATATGCTGTTATTCAGTGTAAAAACATTTTTCAAGATTTATTTAAATAAAATTGTCAGATTACATGAAAATGTCTCAGAAATTATAGCTATTACTCTACTGAGTGCACAGGGCAAACTTTACTTGAAAGTCAATCCTAATGCATTTGTCCAGTTTTAACAGGCAGAGGCTATCTGATATGCTATACATATTTTTAATGTAAAAGTATTTTTTAAGGAAATACCTAGAAATATTATATTCTGAATTGTATTAGGATGTAGAACCTTTACAGTGACATTTTTGTGCCTTGTATGCCAAGATATGAACTGAGTCAGTCCTCCTTGTGTTTTCAAATATAACTTTGAAAATACACAAAAACCCTTCAGTCTTTTATCTGATATGCTATACATATTTTTAATGTAAAAGTATTTTTTAAGGAAATACCTAGAAATATTATATTCTGAATTGTATTAGGATGTAGAACCTTTACAGTGACATTTTTGTGCCTTGTATGCCAAGATATGAACTGAGTCAGTCCTCCTTGTGTTTTCAAATATAACTTTGAAAATACACAAAAACCCTTCAGTCTTTTATGGGCTTTTTTCATGTTTCCTATTAAATTAGGTTCTATAAATTTTCTGTCTCAGCACTGTTTGACAACAGTTCTTTCAATTGAACATTTCTAATTGTTTCTTCTAGCTGCCCTGTGTAGCACCTGTCATAACAGGTATTCTGGCTTCTTAATGTATCTTTCAAATACTTTCATTCTTCTGAGTAACTTTGAAGGTAAGATGTTGAACTTTCTGGCAGATTTTGGTGCTCTATTTGATAAAAAACTTAATCCTTTAAATAATTAGCATTTTTTCCTGTGTCACTTGCTTGTCAAATACAATTTGACTTTACCTCTCCTATTTTTTATGGTTATGTTTTTAAATAGAACTAATGTGTAAATTCAGTTTGTTTTTAAGTTATGTCCATAGCTACATCTTGTCAGTTTGCTATTTTATAGCTTTCTATAATAGCTTGCATCTTATTTCCAGGACATCAATTGGCTGTGATCCTGTACTACTTAGCCTTCTTACAGAACACTTGACTGGGTCTCGCCAGAGTTGCTGTTAGAATACGTATGAGAAAACAAAACTGATAACTATTTATCTTACTGTGCAGTCTTTTTACTTTGTTGGTTGAGCAGTTGCTTTCTGAAGTGACAAGATTTGAAAAATAGTTATTAAACATGTACTTGCCATAATGAAGTCAGTGGCAAGACCATGTTGATAGAAAACCTAGACAATGTAAATATTTGAGTAATTAAAAAAGTTCAATGTGGTTAAATTTAAAAAAAATATTGTTACTTTTGTGATAAGTGTATCATCAGATGGTCTCCAAT